TGGTGGCTCACGCCTATAATCCTAGCACACTCTGGGGGGCCGAGGCAGGTGGATTGCTCAAGGTCAGGAGTTCAAAACCAGCCTGAGTGAGACCTTGTCTCTACCAAAAATAGAAAGAAATTAATCGACCAACTAAAATTATATGTACAAAAAAGAAAAATTAGCTGGGCATGGTGGCACATGCCTATAGTCCTAGCTACTCAGGAGGTTGAGGCAGTAGGATCTCTTGAACCCAGGAGATTGAGGTTGCTGTGAGCGAGGCTGATGCCATGGCACTCACTCTAGCCTGGGCAACAAAGCAAAACTCTATCTCAAAAAAAAAAGTCAATATGTATAACTATATATGTCATGAGTACTGGCTTTTTCCCTTCTACAGTAGGAAAGAAAAAATCTGCTATGTAATATGCTTATTAATATATTTTGAAAATATAGAAATCCTTAGTGGATTTTGCTTCAGTTTTGAAATTATATATAAGAGCATGTCTATCTTCATCAGCTCATTAGTAGGAAGAAATGACTATGACATGTGTTAAAAATAAATTTAACTATTTGGAAGAAAAGTATATCACTTTTCAGGCCCGGCGCACGGTGGGCTCACGCCTGTAATCCTAGCATCTGGAGCCGAGGCCAGCGGATTGCCGAGGTCAGGGTGTGGCGCGCGAGAACGTCTTTGCTAAATAGAAAGAAATTATTGGCCAACTAATCTATACATAGAAAAAATTAGCCCGCGCATCGGTGGCCGCATGCCTGTAGTCAGCTACTCGGGAAGGCTCGAGGCAGGAGGATCTCTTGACAGGAGTCTGAGGTTGCTGTGAGACGACGCTGCGATGCCCAGCGGCACTCACACTCTACCTGTCGCAACATAACGAGACTCTGTCTCAAAAAAAAACAAAAAAAAAAAAAGACATTTTACAACCTCAAACCTTGTGTTACAATTGAAGAGCAAGTATAATAACACATAAGGTGAAATCTTTCTCGGGAATCTGAACAAAGTCCACTGGGCAGTGGAGGACCCAGCTGGCTCCAGCTGAGTCCCTGGCCCCTGTGCGGCGGCAGACCGAGGGACGCTGGGAAAAAAAAAAGACTCCCCATGGAACGACTCTCAGACGGGTAGGTGGGGTTTCGTGGCTATATGCCAATTCACACATTTGGGGCTAACTTCCTTGTTCCACACACACAGGGCTGAGCTTTGTTGCAACCAATGCTGTTTGTGCGTGGTCTTCTTGGTGTTTTGTTTTTAGACAGCTTTGCACAACAGTATCTTTTCAAAACCTTCTAAATGAAGAATCCAAAAGCAGAAGAGAAAGCGAAATGCGACTTCTAGTACTTTCCGGGCCAAGCGTGGCTCCTCATTACGCGAACCAGAAGGGGAATCAATTCATATTGATGTCCGACTTTTTAATTAGATCTTCCATAGATCTGCTAAGAGGACATCCTTTTCACGTCTATTAACAGTGCGCTGAATCCGGATGTAACGAGGACAAGTGTACCATCCCATTGAACAGAAATACGGCCAAGAAGAGACACTAAAGCCAGCGCAGGCTGCGGTGGCTCAGCGCCTGTAATCCTAGCACTCTGGGAGGCCGAGGCGGGCGGATTGCTCGAGGTCAGGAGTTCAAAACCAGCCTGAGCAAGAGCGAGACCCCGTCTCTGCTAATAAATAGAAAGAAATTAAATTGGCCCAACTAATATATATATAGAAAAAACTAGCCGGGCATCGGTGGTGCATGCCTGTATTCCCAGCTACTCGGGAGGCTGAGGCAGGAGGCATCGCTTGAGCCAGGAGTTGAGGTTGCTGTGAGCTGGGCTGACGCCACGGCACTCACTCTAGCCTGGCAACAAAGCGAGACTCTGTCTCCAAAAAAAAGAGAACCAAAGCAACATTAGGCACGGCACAATACTAAACATGGATTAACATGACACAGAGTTATCCAGGAGCAACTACTACAGAGCTCCCTTTAGAGTGGATCTATCAAAGATAATACAATTGCAAGATTCTGCTGAGCTAAGAGAAACCAACAATGGCATTTATCAATCTGTTATATACATCCTGATCTGTCAGATCTTCCTAACCTTTTTAACTTTCAAGAAAGAAACGACCATACGTTCATATTGACAGGTTACCCATCGGATCGCGCCTTGGGAACACAACCATCAGCACTCGCAGCAGCCTCCTGCGCATGTATTCCGGTCTGGCTGACGCTGAGATCAGAAGGGAGACTACTTCACTGATCAGCTGTAGTGAGCGATCCCTGAAATTGGGAGCTCATCAGGGGAAGCAAAGTCGCTTTCAGTTCTCCCTTTCGTCACGGAAAGGGACCCAATGTCACAGCTGTGATTTGTAACTCCCGCATCTTGCCTTCCTCACGCATACCACTGTCCCCTTTGGAGAGCGAGGTAGCCCCCGGAAGGCGCGGGAAGGGTGTCTCGCTCAGCCCTGCCTCACCATCCCCCCGCGTCATGCCCTGCTTCACCATCTCTCGCTCCAATGGCCGTGAATGCGCTGACACTCCTCGCCAGGGAGCCAGGGAACGCTTTGCAGTAAGCTGGGTTAGCAAACCTAACCTGGTTTCAGCCTTCCTCAATCAGACCTGTAGCCACCCAGCAAGGAGCTACACTCTTCTAAAATATATAAAGCATATCCAGGCCGCAATGCGAGCACTCCAGTACCACATACTTGTAACATAGTAACAACTTCAACATTTGCTCTCCGTAACCTCTGGTGTATGTTCAAATAATATGGGCTGCTAAGATTTCCTACATGTGTGCTTTCCTACACCCTCTACTACACAGAAAGCTATTTCAACATTAAAGTTCAGCAGCACTGAAACATGTTTATTTTATGAGCATACTCAGTTAGTCCCCCGGGGAGAGCCAATTGACCACACTTTTCAATAATTTCAATAAATAACAATACGCACTGTATCCTGCCTTCCTGTCACAGAATTCGTGGTAAGCCTATTGTATCCCGCAGCAAAGGCTAGTTTACTAATGTTGGACTGTGCCACGTGTGTGTATGTGGATTGAATATCGACCATATCATGTAGAATGCAGATAATGCCATTCATTAAGGTGCTTACTACAGCAAGGCAATGGGCTCATCAGCTTTACTCATTTGTTAACAATTATTTGTTGAACACCTCTGAATGGGCCAGGTGCCTGGATTAGGTACTAGGTATCGTAGAGCTAAAGACAAACATGGCCTTGGTCCTTATGAAGCTTATGTAGTGAGAGAAGACAAATTTTTCTTTAAAGCATGATAGCAAGGAATGAACCAGTCAAGGGCTTGCCTCCTCCAGATAACGCATTTGCAACGCTGAAAGGTGCGCAACAGGTAGATACAAATGTGGCAGAATGTTACTGTTAGAGACAAAGGCAACACAAGGATGTGTGGTGGGTTTTGAGAAAGTAAGAAAGAACTCAAGGGACACGAGGGGGAAGTGGCTTGGTGGGGGCTGGTAAGGCAGTGCGGGACAGGAAGGGCTTTTCAGGCAGAGGTAAGCCAAGAACTCTTGGGCTTTCTCAAGGCAATGGGAAGGCGTCTAGGGACTTGAAGACAGATTGAACTGCTGGGGGGGGGGGAGCGTCATGTGGCGAGAAAGGAACCAGGTTTCAACAACTGCCTGCTAGGTGTGATGTGGTACAAAGCACCACCTCTGGGACACAGCCAGTAGTTTTCTTACCTGTGGTGTATCAGTTATCTTAGTGCTCCATCTGGATGATACTACCTCTTAGGTATCTTTAGGAAGCTTTACGCACCCGGCTCCTTCACTTTTTCTTCATTCAACCGCACACCATTATAAGGATGCGTGATGCTACCGACCTCATTCGATTTCGCCTTTTCTTGCTTACTGATTTAGAGACATATAACCGAGATTTCACTCTCCTTTCATTAGTCTTGTTTTTCGGCCCATCAGTTATGTTATTTGGGCGATATTACAGGATCAAAAATATGGATTTACGACACATCAGCCAGTAAATTTAGTCTGCTTATCGATCTGCTACATTAAAAGATCGATCGCGACAGCTGGACAGATTAACAAGTGACTACTTCCAATACTTGTCTTTACAAAATAAATGTATAGCATCTACGTTTCAATCGAGACTTGGCATCGACCTAACGATCCTCTGGTAAAGCCCTTGTGCAACGTGGTTTCCTTGTCACGCGCACCCAGCCGCCTGGCCTCCAACCGCCTTCCAAATATGCACGTACTTATCCGCATGGATTTATATCAACCGACGTGCTCATCTGATACGACATGCCATACCTCTGGCTCTCGCACTACATCCTTTCGTATCAGCACACAAAAAGCGGCTCAGCTGTAATCCCAGCACTCTGGAAGACCAAGGCAGGAGGATCACTTGACCTCAAGAGTTTGAAGACCAGCCTGAGGCAAAAAGTGGACCCCGTCTCTTATTTTTTTAAAAAAAAAAAAAGAGAGACAGAGAAAGAAAAAAAGATGCATGTACAAAGGGGACATTTGGCAAATACTTTCTCTTATTCAACAAATAATTCTCCCACATAGTATAATGCTGATGCTTCCATTTTTTGCTCAGTGAAAACAAAGAATTAAAATTTAGGACAATGTTATCCAAATGGCATACATACAGAAAAAACGAACAAAACCAAGTAAGTAAGTAGTTGAAGTGTTATCCCCAAGAGGACAATATATAAAAACAGATTGTATAAGAAACTAACTGGGCAAAACAGGACATTAGTCAAAGCTGACTGTGAATGTGGAATATGGAATTATCAGTTGAAATATCCAGCAGAAATGTACACAGACACAAACGTCTATGGGCTCTGATTGCCCTGAAACCCTGCAGGATTAAACCTGTTCTTGTATTACCTACTTCTTAACAAAAATGTTTAACTTTTTGTTTCTATGTTACCATTTTACAAATGTGGCAATGTGTTAATTATTCTTGGAACCAGGTCACAAAAGACTGTCCCTGGTGGTTGTTATGTGGGTAGGGAGAGGCGGGGTCAAGATCAGCAGGACAGAGATTGCCGTCCGTGTCCTCACCAGCGGGGACGAGGACGGTGGGCAAAGCTGCTGCCCTCGGGGAAACCACAGAAAAACTGATGTGGAGATCTTCATGCCCAGGCCTGGTACTGATACTTTCAGTACAACCCACTACAAGCCAAGCTTCCAAAATATTAACACTGATGAGTGAATTCACCAAGGGCTCACTATAACTTTACTGCTAGCAGAATAGCAGAAAAGATCATGGTATCATCTACTTTAATAGGAGAAAGAGAGGGGTGTGGGGCTGGGGAGGAAGGAAGGAAAAAGACCTGCAAACGGGTAATCTATAATAGAACAAATTGCCCCAGTCCCTATAAGACCAAAACCTTTAAAGCATTTCCAATAATAATAATTAAAGCAAAATCTGTTTTCTTTTTGTAGAGATGGGGTTTCACCATGTTGTTCAGGCTGATCTCAAACTTCTGGCCTCAAGCCATTCTCCTGCCTCAGCCTCCCAAAGTGCTGGGGTTACAGGAGTGAACCACAATGCCTGGCTGCAAAATCTTTGTGGTTCTTACTTTGTACCAGGCTCTATTTTAAAGGCTTCATACATACTAACTCAGAGATAGTATCAATATGTCCTCAGTATCAATATGACTGAGGCGCAGGGAGGTAACATGCCCAGAGTAACTAACCAGTGGAGTGAGGATTTGAACCTCGGCAGCCATAGCTCCGGGATCCAATTGCTGTATCCTTAATCTTTACTATAGTATCTCTAGTTACAGTGCTACTCAAAGCACTTGTCCATGGGATGTTTGTTACTGATCTAAAATGAGATAAAGCACTTGCACCAACATATGACAATTAGGTCATTAAACACACTGGGCTCAAGTTGCTTATCTCATCTTCAGCTGATAACAAACAGCTCACAAACTAGCAAGAGTCCACGGATCACCCTTTGAGTGCACAGCTCTGCAGGGTTCCCTTAACTGGATCCGGAAGAGGGAAGGGAATTCAAATTTCTAAGCAGCAAAGCCACACTTGCCTTTGTGCCCGTGATCCTGAAAACAGCCCCGGCAGGTGTTAATGGCCCTGCTGGGCAGGTAAGGGAACGTCCAGTTCAGAGTCTCTCGAGAGTGGCGGATAGACGGGATGTGAACCTGGGTCGCACTGACGCCCGGACGGACCGCAGGCTGTGCCACGCTCGCTGCCTCCCGCTCACCGGGAGGCCACTCAGGCCAAGGACGAGGCCTAGAGCAGGTCTGGGGCTCTGGAGATTTGTGAAGCCGCACACTTGGGGTTGATTCTCTCAGCTTCCACTCTTGCTCCAGCACCATCCCTCTCACCCTTCCCTGCCCACTCGCCCTCCAGAGACTTCTCTTTCTAAAATGTTTTTAATTTATATGTATTTTTTAGAGACAGGGCATCACTGTAACCTTGAACTCCTGGGCTCAAGCCTCTGCTTCCAGGCAGGGAGAAGCACCAGACACTGGATTCCCCTCCCACCTTACATGCCTAGAAAACTGGACAAAATACATGAAGCAAAGGTTTTCAGACATCAGAAAACAGGAGGCAGAGGACAGGGATCCTTGAGAAACTCCCTGTGACTGGCAGGGCACAGCACGGGCAGGGGACCAAACAGAGTGGCCGCGTTGAGGAGACAGAGTTGGGCACTCGGGAGGCCAAGGCAGGGCGGGAACTCACGGGACAGCAGAGCGGAGACAACTGCACAGAGAACAAGCCCAGGGCCACAGGGCGTCCTGCTAGAGGGGCTGCAGCCGGGCAGCTCTCCAAGGCCAAGGGAACCACAGGAAAGGAGGTTTTCAGTTTCCTCATAAAATAGGATGCGGGAGTGTCGCTGGGAAGGGGAGGGGAGGAGATGCTGAGGATCTGAGGAGAGCGGAGAGCGAGCAGACACTCACTCCGCAGAGCGAGACCAGGGGTCGCCCCCGTGCAGCCAGGGCGTCTGCGCGGCTCTGCGGTGGCAGCAAGCACTGAGGGCCTATGCGGTCATAAATACAAAGCGGCGTCTTCCCGTGCAGTTGTGCTTCTCTCCAGCCACTTGCAGCCGCGCCAGTGCAAGTGTGGGCCAGCAAGGACGGGGTTTCACCTGCGCTGTGGATCGGCCACGCAGGACAGAGTGGGAGAGGGACAAGTAGGCCGTGTGCCATTGCAGTGGACCTAGGCTGAAGGTAGTCCTTTTGGTTTTCTCCCACGAACTGCTATTAACCCAGGTCCTCTCTCTGCTGTGCTCCTGTGATTGATCCTTTGCAACCCAAGGCCATTCTGCTCATGTATTCTTATGCCGTCAGCCGTCATTAACAGCTATCCTTCCAACTCCGGATGGGCAAACTTCTCTCTTGTCTTCCTAGCTACCACCAGAAATATTGCACAGGACAAAGTCAAGGGCAGAGTCCACTGGTTCTCCTCTGAAGACTTCTTGTTGGATCAACATTAATCTATTTGTCAACATAACTGGTAAACATACTTAGCCAGCTTTATATCCAGGTAACTCTACTCCATCAGATTAAATTGCTCCTTTTTTGCAATGGCGTCAAGAGAGTTTATTCAATGATTTGCTAAAATCAAGACACTCCGTATCTACAGCATTTCCCTATCTTTCAATGTAATTTTTAAAAATTTTTAATGAAGCCTGTTTGGCGTGATTTGTTAAATTCATATTTGCTATTAGCAATTAATCTTTGTTATTTTGAGTGTTCTAAAACAGGATAGCACTCTTTTGGGCAGGCCAGCTGTGTCTGCTGAAAGTGGGAGACAACAGAATTACAACGGCTGATGGTCAAAGCACCTTCCCCTGGGCCAAGCAAGCGCCTCTTACCTCCGTGTGGGTCTAACTGAGATCAAGATTCACTCAAGTTACCCAGCGGTGGGGTCAAGATGCGAGTACACTGGGCCAGACACTGCTAGCTGCTTACCCAACTTTCCCCTTTTTCCTTATCAACTGACTCCCAATTTTGTCCTGGGCAACAATTCACTAAGCTAAAAACAGAAAAGGGTGTGGAGCTATGTTTTTTAACATTTTGGCTGCTAGGAGTTCACTTTACAGTTCAGGCAGCGAGACAAGGGCAGGATCTTGGGGGAGCTCTGCGTTGCTGATCTATATGAAAAACACATTCATCTTCGTCGTTTTCTTCTTCTGGCGTGGAAATAGATGTAAGACTGGAGGCATGAGACGGCAAGCGTGAGGGGTGGCGGGGAGGCAAGCTGGGGAAGCGTGAGTCGTTGGTGCTGTGGGTCGGCTGCGCCAGCCCTGGACTGCCTGTCTCCAGACTCGAGTTGTGTGAGGCCCACACAGCGCCAGCGGCCCCGCCGCTAACACGGGCGCCTGTTCTGTGCAGCAGAACCTGTGCTTCTGCGCATGCTCAGAGGCTGGGACGCTGCCAGTCACCGCAGCAGCCCCAGGCACCGGCTACTCCTGCCTCGCCCCCTCTCACAACTGCTGCGTGGTCTGCTCTCGTGGTATATATTTATTGTTCCTCAACACCGATTTATTTTCTTCTAACTACTTGCTTCCTTATCTAATCATTCTATCTATTCTCTAGGTCAAACCTTCTACTTACTTGTAATTTCTGCTCTCCCATAACTTTAGTTTACCGAGGTTCACCATGGCCTTTCCAAAATATCTTCACGTCGTGACTTAACTTTCATCTCCCACATGAATGTTCTCATCCTTTGTTGTTCCAAATTCTGCAGAGGAGTGTAATTGCCCTGTAATGTTTAGGCCACAGGCCAATCTATTGATTGGCCACTGCTGGTCTAGAGTCCACCTCTAATCCAGGCAGCTGTGATTTGGGGAACGAATGGTTTTAGGCAGGGGTCCTCAAATTTTTTAAACAGGGGGCCAGTTCACTGTCCCTCAGACCGTCGGAGGGCCGTTGGAGAGTGCGGCGCACATTCCACACATGCGCACTGTGGGCCCTGGACAAGTCGGCCGCTAAGCAGGACTAGCAGCGGCGGCAAAAACACCCTGCCGGCCAGATAAATGTCATAGGCGGGCCACATGTGGCCCTCGGGCTGTAGTTTGAGGACACCTGGTTTTAGGAATAGAGTAAGAAACACGGCCCTCTACAGGCCCTGCTCAGCGGGGACTCTGGGCAGGTCAAACCTGGCAGGAGGGACATGGCAAGTATCATAATATAACTCAAGCCTGGAACATTGTGCCAAGGGAAAGCATGGCCACTCCTCCAGACCAAAGCCAATCAATGCCTCATTTTAAATTATGCACATTTCAGAAAACATAACCTAATAAACTATGGCTAGGAAATTCCAGGCCTCAAGTCCTAATCCCAGCTTTTCTATTAACACACTATGTGAAAGTTTGAAGATCTCTTTGTGCCTTACTTTCTTCATCTGTAAAAATAGGGAACTCATATCTATTACCTCTTGAGGTTGCAGAGAGGAACAATAAAATTGATTTGCAAAGTGTTTTATTGCCCTAAAGTACTATGTTGAAAATGTCCCATATTTAAATAGCCTGATTTGTTGCAGTATATAATAATGCTATTTAAAGAACATATTCTAAATAAATGCATGTTTAATTTTTCTTTCTATTGTTACTTTTCTGAAAGTCATTAAAATCCAGGAAGAATGCTATGAGATGTTAAAGTCTTCAATCACACTAAATTTTTCCTTACCCCCAAAATTAAATTCTGGCCCCATATTCTTGTTTATCACAATTCACTTACCTAAAGTTTAAGTATAATAATAACAACTATGACCAGACTTTATGCTTAAATGTACAGAATCAAAAGCGATGGGTGGAGCCAGTACTGACACCAGGTTGATGATGTTCGTCTCTTCCCAGCTGTTTCCAGCCATGTCGTCATGTTGGTAGCTTGAAATCAGGTATGATGGGAGTATTTACACCACAGAAATTAGCAAATCTACAGACGAGGTCTTTCCTTTTTCTCTTTTCCAGAGAGCTGGTTATTAAACATTTACCAGGACATCATTGGATCTCACGTACCTAGAACTGAAAAGCACACAAACACACGTCATCATCATCAACAATAACAACCGCAACAATACACCTAACAAGCATCAGAGAGGTCAGTTTTTTAAATAATAAATGGTCTCTCATGGTCATCTGTGGGGATACTTTGAATATTTGGTGAAGTGGATCCAGATATTTTCTTAGCCTAAAGCAATGATTCTCAGACTTTAGCATGCCATCAGAATTACCTTCAGGGCTTATCAAAACACATTGCTAAACTCCAGCCCTTAAGTTTCTGATTTAGTAGGTTTGGGACAGGCCCTAGAAATTTGCATGTCTAACAAGTTCCCATGTGATGCTTATAACTACCAGCTTAAAGATATGTGGAGTAGCACAAAACAAACCAAAAGAATAAATAGGAAGATTAGAGGATTGCACAGATAAATACGGATTGGACCAGTGCAGATTTAGTGAAATATACAGGCTCTTTATGATCCTTGTTGCAAACTGTATGAAACACCAATTTAGAATGCTGGCTACCCTGAGGATCGCCTTGTTTCTGGGCCTCTTCACAGTAACTGAGGTTATTCGTGTTGGTTCTTTATAGATCTAAAATGCTGCGAGTTTGGGGTCAGCATTGTCACCTCAACAAAAATCACTTTGCTTCCCTGGGCTTCAGGTTCTTTATGTTAGAAGTGAGAATTAAATTTTGTGTTCATATCTCTGTGTTAATCAGCTATAAAATGAAAAATAATTCACTCACAGATTTCCTTAATTAATGAATGATTATTATAACAATGCAACAGAAAAATATTAATAAGAAACCATGGTCAGAGCCCAAAGACATGGATAACCAGGATCCACTCCCGAGCCAGCTCTGAAAGATGGAATGGAATTTGGAAACTGGGTCACCCTTGGACTCTAACGCAGCTTTTACAACCCGATTACCTTGCTGCCATCTTATCAGCAGGCTTGTGGGGCCCAAATCTAGAATTTAACAATGCCATGACCTTGCAACTCTTCGCCCCTGCTTCTGTGTCTCTCTCAGCTTCTCCTTCTACTGCCAAACGGTCTCAATTCTCCTCATAGCTTCTCTCCCTCCGTGGCTTCAGCATATCGGTGAGATACATGCAATGTGCACTGTTTACTTCCCAGCTTCTGCCACAATCTCTTTCTTGCCATCTCTATAAGCTTTGCATTCAAAGCCTAACAAAGGGGCCAGGCGTGGTGGCTCAGGCCTGTAATCCTAGCACTCTGGGAGGCCTAGGCAGGTGGATCATTTGAGTTCAGGAGTTCAAGACCAGCCTGACCAAGAGTGAGATCCCCTCTCTACTAAAAAGAGAGAAAGAAATTAGCTGGACAACTAAAAATATATAGAAAAAATTGGCCGGGCATGGTGGCACATGCCTGTAGTCCCAGCTACTCGGGAGGCTGAGGCAGGAGGATTGCTTGAGCCCAGGAGTTTGACATTGCTGTGAGTTAGGCTGATGCCACGGCACTCTAGCCCAGGCAACACAGTGAGACTCTGTCTCAAAAAAAAAAAAAAAGCATAATAAAGGATGAGTTTAAATCTACCTTGTTCACTGCTATATTTACAACGTCTGGCATAGTGCTTGGTATATAAGAAGCATTTTTTAAATGAATGAATGCCTCATTTAGGTCAATGCATAGACTGGGCCACTCCAGATCTATTTATATTTATAGTCAAGAAGACAGAGTTACGTGGTATGGAACTTGTTAAAATCTGTCTGCTCAGCAGGAGTCTGTGGGCAAGCCCGCAGAACATGAATATTCACCTATAGACATTCGCCTGTGGACGTTTTTTATCTTATGTGGGTTCGGCAGAGCAAAGAAATTGCTCTGCTATTGGTTGGTTGAGGAGAGGGGTTGATGATAACTACCCTCACCAGCTGTCTAGGAACACCTGAAAACTTCCACCAATGACCAGCTGAGTTAGTTTTCCGCTGGGATGTCTGCGAACAAGAGCAGATCCTGAGACAAAATTTGAAGTGGGGCAGTTTATTTGGGTGTCATCCCAATGAAGGAATAAAGAAATGAGATGGGGAGAAAAGTCAGTTAATAACAGAAAGTCCTCTCTGCTATTCATTTTTAAAACCCTAATGTCTAGCACGATAACTAGGCAGGTAGTTGGCACTCAGGAAGTGTTTGTTAAGTAGATTAACTAAGTTGACAGGACTACTTTGGATCCCTGGAATCGCAATGTTATGCTCAGAATCCCACACGTGCTGTCCTGGACACTTTGTTCCAAAACAGAGCATGTTCACTACATGATTGGAACTAGCTACTTTGCCAAATTCAAGCATCATTTCTGATACTTGAGAACATTGCTATTTTTCAGTCAAAGCTGTGCTGCATACTTCACTAATTAGGAGCTGCGAAACTATGGCACTACAGTTACCGCTTTTAGGACAAGAGAGAAAAAAAACCAACAAGAAGACTTTTTTACTTCCTGAACACCCAACAGCGTCTGTTACTGGGGTCCTTGGCACAGGCTGACACATCTGTTACCAAGAGCCCCAAGGACACTCCAGGGAATGGAGCTGATTTTTATTTTGTCTGTTAGATTTGCAGGCACCTATTTATTTGTGTTTTCTCTGGTTCTCTCGCTAAAGTGTAAACTCAAGAGTTTACACTTTAGTGTGCGTCTTCTGCTTCTGTAATTCTCTGAAGTCCCCAGGAGCGTGCTTGCTTGGCACGTGGCTGCTTGTCAAGACACCGTGGCCAATGGGCAGAATTGCCCTGCTAAGTAGGTGGAACAGCCCCTAAGCAAGCATTAATCGCTAGGATTTCTTGAGTCCTGAAAGTAGTCAGTGTCTAAAACCTGGTAAACAGGCCACGCTGGCCACATCAGTGCTCAGGAATAACCAAACATTTCAGTTCTGCAGCCACTGAGTTTATTTTCTCAAAGTCATCTCCAACGGCAAATAAACACATAGTGACCTTAATCTTTCATTTTTATGACCCACTAGTATATAATAAACAGTAGCCACAAGGTAGGCTCGATGCTTAATAACAGATGGCATAGGAGTGTCCATTCTAAAGGTTGGCACCAAGAGCCACGAGCTGGGGACGACAGAACTGAACTCCGTGAGTGCCTGTTAGTTAACATAAGGGAGGGTTCCAGCCGTGGCTTTTGCACTCAAATTCCTGAAATATTAATCTCTTTGCTTTTTAAGCCTTCTTCTGTTTTCCGTGAATAAAATCAGAAGCAAATGTGGGGAGTAAAATAAGAATTAGGAACTCTAACTCCCTAAGAGTAACTGCTGCTTTGTGTTTTGATCAGGTCAGGAGCTGGGAGGAAGGATTCAATTTTCGGCAGCTCTGCTCTGTCCCTGCAGCCTCCTTGTGTCCCAGCTCAGCCTTGGTCTGCAGCCACCCGTGTGTACTGTGTGACAGACAGCTGCTCCCGCCCAGCTCCCCACCCCCATCCCCTGCCTGGCCTCGCCACCATCGGCAGAAACTGAGCCTGACGCCTCTGGCTGCAAACTCAACATCAGACCAGGACTGCTCGGCAGAGGCTCTCCCAAGGGACAGATAAAAAGGCAGGCAGAAAAGAAAATTCGCTACTATGTCAGCCGACGAGAAATAAAGCTTACTTACAGTATGCCACCAAAAAAATTTACTTGTACTTTCTATCAGATCTGGTTCTATTTTCAGCTGTGACAGCTTTCCCTTCACCTGCTGGCCCTTTCTGAAATCAAGACACCAGGAGACGGGGGCTCAGTGTGGCTGGTGACTGAGAGCTCCCCGCCAAGCCACAGATCACACCTGGCAGAGCCCGGCTGCATCCACACGTGACTGCTGCTTGTCAAATGTCCCGGCCTCACTATCAGGCTCTGCAGTCTCCCCACCGCATTTTTAATTGATATTTTAAGCGCGCGCGCGTGTGTGTGTGTGTGTGTGTGTGTGTGTGTGCATGTTTTTAGCACAATGTTCTAGTTTACTTTCTTTTTATATTTTCTATTTCTGGAAGACCATGATTAAAATGAAGTAGAAAAGATTGGAGAGCCCAAAATACAGAAATTGACCTTTTTCCTTAGAATGACTTGTTTTATGATTTCCGATCACAAGGAGCCCAGCTGGCATCTGCCAGAGAGACTGGAGAGGGAACACCTGCTGCAGCTGGGAGGTTGGACTGGTGACCCCTTCCGTTCCTCCCAAATTAGTAATTCTATGATCATCAGGTGCAGGGCAAATTGCTTTTAAAATGTTTTTCCAAGAAAATTGTCAAACTCGAAAGTAGCCGATTCATACAGATAACTGCTATTGAAATTGGTGTCTTTTCTATATGGACAGGAAGAGAAGGGTCGAGAGGAGCAGTTCCATGGGACTTGGAAGTAGAGAGATCCATTCAGACGGGGACCGAGTCTGCATAACAGCTTCGTATTTGCAATACCATCGTCACGTGGTTGAGTTGCAGTTGCCATCACAGGTCTCATTTGCAGAGCTTTGCAATTCACGCCTTACTTGGCATTACTGACTTTAACCTGGGAAGAAATATTCCCATGAAAGACTATGAAATTTATGTTATCAATTTGCTTTATAGATGAAAAAACGAATACAAATTCAAAAGGCATGGAGATGAATTTACATTTCAAGAAATCTCTTTGCCATGTCTAGTTTCACTATTGTACTATGGACATTTAGTTCACATTTTCAATTAAGAAAGGAGCAGAAACACACAGCAATGGTCACCCAAGGAGCATGCAGAACAAGTCGTGCTAGAGGGACTCCCTAACACAAAACATTTTTATGTCAGTGAAACCTATGGAAATGAAAATTTGGGGCAGCCCTAAAGAGTGAAAAAAGTTTTGGTTTTGGTTTTATTTTGTAATGCAACTAACCAGCCAGAGAAGTAGGGCCGAGGAAGAGAATGCTGTTGCTAACTCTTAGCCCCAAATCTGGGCAAAGCGAGTTTGTGTGTGTGTGTGTGTGTGTGTGTGTGTGTGTGTGTGCGCGCGAGTATGTGTGCACAGGTATGTGTGCACGTGCGTGTGTGTGTGCATGTGTGTGTGCGCGTGCGCGTGTGCATGTGCGTGAGTGCATGTGCGTGTGTGCATGTGTGTCGTGTGTGTGCGCACGTGTGCATGTGTGCATGTATGTGTCATGTGTGCAAGTTTAAAGGATAATTGTATGGACGTTTATGACAGTCTTGAATTATTTTTAGCACTAGTTGGTATGATCAGCTTCCCCACCCTGTAACGATGCTTCTGACTACCTATTCCAAGCACAGGTCTTAGATGATTACCCCCTTGAAAATAATCATTAAAATAATCGATTGGGCATTGACACCGCATCAGACACTTTAAAATGCATTTTCTGTCATCCTGAAGAGTAAGCACTTACAGTACCAGAAAGAGACAAATAGTTGGTGTTATTACTTCCATGACATGGACGAGGAATCTGCAGTTCGGAAAGACTGTTTAACTTGCCTAAGCCAACTGCTAGTATCAACTGATACAGAACTTGAAACCGCCTTTGACAGATTCTGACCACATGTGCTTCCCACTACAGCAGATGACCTTTCAACCCTGCTCTCTGCTGAAGGGAGAGCTCTGCGTGAAACTTGTTTTGTCACTACTGAGAGGAGGGGTCTGCATTGCATTGAAGTGCATTGTTCTTAAATTAATACAATTAATAGAGGCTCCTTTTGCTAATTAAAAACAATAACTAAAATACGAAAATCTAAACATCAGAAATTAACGCATGAAAACAGTTGCTCATTTAGCTATGGAGACCTTTCTATTGGCAGAATGAATGTTTTGAGGTACAAAAGAATTGCTTAATTTTAGTAGCCCTTTCAGTGAAATCTTTCCTGGTAAAGCTTCATTTGTCTGATAATGAGATTAATCTACAACATTGAAAATTAAATTGCCACCAAATCATCATTAGGTAGTGGGCTGAAGGCGGGTACGGTGGGTAGCAAGTTTGACATCTGCGGCAGACAGAACGAACAGCACTGGGGAGGAAGTCAGATGGTCTGGCATCTGATCTTGACTTCTGCCTACACCATACCACTTCGCTCACACCCTTCTCACCACCGGCCGCCACCGCCATAATAACCTCCGCACTCGCCACGCCTGTCTCTCTGATGTTATAGTCTGATCGCATCCATCATAGTATTCGCTTGAGAGACCACTTGCATACATCACTTTTTGTAAAAAGAATGATTTGAATCACACCGAACCTTGTACACACATGTCCACATCGTCTCATACATGCGCATTGTCTAGTCACAATTCGCATGCACACTCTTTCTCTTCTCTCACGCCTCCATACCACTCCACGCCACACCTGACGACCCCTCAAGCACACACCAGATGGCAAGCGCTATCTCGGAGCTCTCACTCTCAACTCTCTCTCACCTTCCACCACATGACACCCACCCTCAACTGCCTAATCTGAGCCACCAAAATCCCAAATGCCAGTCACAAGGTTCGAGAATGCGCGGGTGTAGCGCATCCAAGGAATCAAAGCGAACCCCGGTACAATGTCACGGTATGCCGCTGAACTGGATCTGGCTGGAGGAAAGTAAGAACACGAGCGATCACTGATTTTTTTTTTTGAGACGAGTCTCGCTTTGTTCCCAGGCTAGAGTGATGACCGTGACGTCAGCATAGCTCACAGCACCTCAAACCTCTGGCCGCTCAACAATCTCTGCTCACCTCCCAAGTAGCGACCTACTCGGCGAGCACCCTATGCCCAGGGCGCATGCTACCATGGAGCGCACTACCTGATGGGTATGGCGCCATGGTAGCATGGCCACCATGCCCGGGCTAATTTTAGGGATTGATGATAGCTGGCCAATTAGTTTCTGCGGGGATTGATAGTAGGACAGTTCTCGGCTGCTTGGCGCAGGGCTGGCTCCAAAACCGGACTTGAGCAATCCACCCTCCTCGGCCTCCCAGAGTGCTAGGATTACAGGCGTGAGCCACCACGCCCGGCCAAAAGCATACTATTGAAACAGTTGATAAAATTTAAATATAGACTTTAGATTACATAATAGTATAAAATCAATGATAAATTTCCTGACTGTTTTACTCAGGAATATATAACAGAATTCCTTGTGTTTAGCAAATACATATTAAAGTATTTAGGGATAAAGGGGCATGATATCTCTAACATACTCTCAAATGGTTCAGAAAAAATATATATGAAAATATATATTTGTATATATGGTGACATTTGTATATATACATTTATACATGTAGAGAGAGAATCATAAAAACAAATGGTACAAAATAGAAATGATGGGTAAATCTGTGCAATAAGTATATGAGAATTCCTTGACAATTCTTGTAGTTTTTCTGTAAGTCTAAAATTATTTGCTCAGAAAGGATTTTTTTAATAAAACATGCTATTTAACTACCTTATAGGTAAATACCTACTGTCTTATATCCCCAACAAATGCATCATCCCAACGTGTGTCCTGTCTTCTGTGGTACCATCCTCCTGTGCCTTTGACTTGCTCCTTCTCTCCACTCCCTTTAGTTCTGGCTCTGAGTACCTCATCCCTTTCCTAGCCACGTAAGATCTACAGTGTCCTTGCATGACATGACTATAGCTGGTTGGCCCAGGGCTACTCGCTTGACCCAAGATGGGCCAATCTAAGAATTTCTCAATAATTTTTGCACTGGTTCACTGTTGTTCTTTGGTGGTCGTCCTAGTTTGTATTCCCCAAAAATAACTCTGAAACAAGTATTTGGACACAAGCAATTTATTTAGGAGCTGATCTTAGGAAGCATGGTAATACAGTGCGGCAGTAAGACAAGAAGAGGAGGAAAGCTATAATAAAAGGTGTTCAATCCTGCTGGGGGCCTTCTAAGAACCCAATAGAACAAAACTCACAACGATCTCCCTGAAGTATGAGAAAGTATGAGAGAGGTGTTTAGGCACCAGTTCCCAACCTCTGTGGCTAAGGGCCACTCCTGGGCATATTAGCCACCTGGCATCCCAACCCACACCCTCAGCCAGAGAATGTCCTCAGGTGGGGAGAAGCAGGTGCTTGGGGTGGAAGCCCAGGACAAATAGGGAACAATTCCCCAATTGCAGGTGACCTCAGATGGGCCGAGGGTACGTGGCCAGGGCAGCAACAGCGTCTGGCACAGTGGTTAACGGTGCAAGACTTTAGGGGGTCCTCAGTGGGCTCTGCTTCCTTCCACGTGGAGGCATCTGGTCTGCAGTGAAAGAGGAGGCGGAGGACGTGTAGGGAAAAGACACACAGAGACGCTGACCGCGATTGAAGCCTGATTCCAACTACTCTGGAGGCCCAGGCGACAGCTTTGTCTGTTCAGCCTTTTTTTGGATTCAGTGAGCAATTAAAATAACCTTTATATCTCAGCACATTGGAGTTGGGCTCCTTTCATGTAACCAAAAGAAAACTGTTCAACTTGATAAGATGTTGTCACCTACAGCCCTGTGATGAGATTCCAGTACTGTCATCCCAACGTCCCATCATCTAAGTGTGATGAAGTAGAGTAACAATCACACAAACTTCAGCTCTCAGCTCTGTATTTCCCTTAGTAGCAGGGTTTTGCTTTACTTATTTTTAAACCGAGACCATTTTCATACTGCCTTAAATCTGTTCTGTATTTATCCACCGCTGA